TTTTTTTTTTTTCTATGTGGGGGTGCACACCCGGGTCAACACCGGGTGTGCACCAATCAGCATCCTACATATAAACATAACAATTGTACACAATCAAGGTATATAATCATGTCCATAATCACACATACTTGAAAATATATGCAGACTTACATAAACATATACGATAATAATATTATTTTAACCGATTCTCTTCTTTTGCAATGAGTTTTACGATAGTAGGTAAACGCCATCAAGGACCTATCCTCAGTAGTATTGCTCCAAAGTAGCTAATCTTGGAATAGGTGTGGCAACAAGAGGGTTCATTTTCTTCATAACAACTCCAAATTTCTTAGATACATCAAGCTCCACCTTAAAACAAATTTGAAATCAAAGTTTCTCTCTCAAGGTGAGAAGAGAAAGAGAGTTTCTTCTATTTATAGTTGCATTATACAGTAAATAGCATGATTTAAGGTATGATTACAATATAAATTTGCAACGGCTATATCTTCAACGGTTGCATTTTACAATTTCTTTGATTGTTGATTTTCCTCCAAAGCATTATTGCCATTTGATTTGTTTCCTTTTGCAGGTTCTACAAAATGATCCTCACAAGTTGAGACTTTATTACTCCCCCTCAAATTGGGCAGTGGCAGAGACACAAGACCCAATTTGCTGCATAGTCAATGAAAGATGTCTCGAGTCAATGGCTTTGTAAAGATGTCAGCTAACTGTGAGGTAGAACTGACAAACCGAGTAATAAGGTGACCAAGAGCAACTTTCTCTCTAACAAAATGATAATCAATTTCAACGTGTTTGGTGCGGCTATGAAAGACTAGATTGACTGTCATATATATTGCACTCAAGTTATCACAATGAAGAATAGGGGCATTGTTAAGAGCCACTCCAATGTCACGAAGAAGGTGTGCAAGCTAAGTGATTTCAGCAATTGTTGAAGCCATAGATCGATACTCTGCTTTGGCACTCGAACAAGCCACTGTAGGTTGTTTCTTTACAGACCATGAAATGCAGTTGCTTCCCAAGAAGGTACAATAACCAGAGGTGGAACGATGGGTCAAAGAACACCCAGCCCAATCAACATCTGAAAAGGCATACAAGTCCAAGGAACTTTGGTTAAGAATTTGTAAGCCATAATTGAGAGTCCCATGTACATACCTTAATATCCACTTGACGGTTTGGTAATTTCCAATTGTAGGAGAATTCATGAACTGGCAAACATAATTGACTGCAAATGAGAGATCCGGTCGAGTAAATGTGAGGTATTGAAGTGCCCCAAAAATACTCCTATAATGAGTTGGATCATGAAATGCATCATTGCTAGAATGTGAGGAACATGCTTTAAGCGCCATAGGAGTGGAGATCGAGTTGCAACCCTCCATTTGAGCTTTGGATAGAATGTCTAGTGCATATTTGGATTGAGATAGAATCAAACCAAGGCTTGTGTAATGAACTTCTATGCCAAGAAAGAAATTGAGACGACCAAGATCTTTAATAGCAAATTCTTGACCAAGTTGAGAGATAAACAGCTCAAGAAATTCAGAGTTATCTCCTGTTAAAATCATATCATCCACATAAATAAAAAGAAGTAAAGTCCCTTTATTTGAATGACAAATGAAGAGAGAAGGGTTTGCTGTGCTGCAAAAAAAACCAATGTTAAAAAGGAATTTGCTAAGTCTATCAAACCAAGCACGTGGTGCTTGTTTCAACCCATATAAAGCATGTTTTAATCGACAAACATGAGTTGGGAATTTGGGATCCAAGAACCCAAGTGGTTGCTCCATATATACCGGCTCATTGAGATATCCATGTAGAAAAGCGTTCTTCATGTCCAGTTGTCGGATTTGCCATTGTTTGGCTGTTGCAATTGCTAATATAGTACAACTGGTCCCAGCTTTCACCACAGGGTAAAATGTTTCAGAGAAATCAACGCCAGCTATTTGGTGAAATCCTTTGGCAACAATATGCTCCTTGAGGCGCTCTAGACTCCCATCAGCATGTAATTTTGTTTTGAGCACCCATTTAGATCCAACCACATTCATATCTTTCGTATGAGGCACGAGGTCCCAAGTATCATTTTTTGCAAGTGCTTCTAATTCTTCATGCATTGCAAGGGTCCATCCTTGATGTTTAAATGCTGACCAAACTGGCTTGGGCTCTATTGGAATGCCTGAAATTTTATGCAATATATGTAAATTTGCATAACGAGGATTTGGTTTAAGGATACCTTTTTGTGATCGGGTGACCATTTGGTGTTGCCGTGTGTTTGCTGCCTAGACTGATAATGGGTTAATTATCTCAATTGATGTAGGAGAGTGATTTTCTTCATTTGTAGTGTTTGCATTCACTCCATTGTCCGTTGGCAGATTTTGCATCAAATTTCCATTTTCATGGCCATCATTAATTTGCACCAAGTCATAATTTTGATGATGATTATCAATGGATCGGATGGAATCAACTAGATGTGATTCAAGTTCTTCATTTGGTTGATGATCATTAATTTCGACATTTTGTGCCCTCGAGTCAAGAATTTTTCTTGAGTCATTAAGACTTGATTCTTCACTGCAAGCTGATTTCCCTTGTTCTATGGTCGGTGCACCACATGGAATAGAGCAACTCTGCTTTTCACCATCACCTGTAGTACTTAAAGAATTTTCATCAGCAGTTATCCAAGGATGGAATGTTGTTACCTCAGTTTCAACATCCGGAGTTACATAAAGCAAGGTCGGATTTGTGAATGGCAGGCACGATTCATCAAAGACCACATGTCGAGATATGTATATTCAGTTTGTTGGAGGATATAAGCACTTATACCCTTTGTGCTTGGTACTGTATCCAATAAAAATGCAAGGCAATGACTTTGGCTCCAATATATTCTTCTTATAATCACCTAAGTAAGGAAAACATTTGCAACCTAAAACTCATAAGGAGTTATAGTTAGGATGTTTGCCATAGAGCCTGAAAAAAGGAGAATCCATATTTAATTGTTGTGAAGGTAAACGATTTATAAGAAATACAGCTATAAAAAAACAATGAACCCAAAGTCGAGTAGGGAGTTTTGCATGGAACATCATTGTTAGTCCCAACTCCGTGATACTTCAATGCTTTCTCTTAGCAACTCCATTTTGTTGTGGAGTTTTTGGACATGCTGATTGATGTCGAATCCCTAAATCATCCAAAAGTTGCAACAATCTTTTATCTGAAAATTCACCCCCTTCGTCAGTTTGAAGAATTTTAATTCGTTTATTAAATTGGCACTCAATAAATTTTTGAAAGTGCACAAAGCAAGCAAAGAAATTTGACTTTCTTTTAATAGGATAAAACCATGTAAATCTAGAAAAACCATCTACAAAAATCACGTAATATCGATGATTTTCAGGGGACTTTGTTGGAGCAGGGCCCCAAAGATCACAATGAATTTTTATAAAGGGCTCATCACATTCATATCAGCTTGAAGAAAAGGAAATCTACAAGATTTACCCATTTGACAACTATCACAAATAGGGTTAGAGTTTGAATCTAAAGTGAAATCAATAAACTTTTGCTTAAAAAGAAAATTTATAACATGATAGTTTAGATGGCCAAGCCTTTGATGCCACCCTTCTTTATTTGTTCTTCTAAACCTTGTGGAGAAAAGTGCCCTATGTCCTTCCTCCAAAGCATCCTCTAAAGTATGTAGACCTCCAGCCTTTTGTCCAAAAGCAATTACCTTGTTGGGTTTGCTTGTCCCTAATAGAAAAGCCATTTGAGTCAAATATGAAAATATATGGCATATCAGTAGTAAGTTGACTAACTAAAATTAAATTTTTTTTAATATTAGGAACAAGTAAGACATTTTCCAATGGAATTGAGTTGTCACCAAAGGCAATGTTAGAATCACCAATATGAGTAATATTTAGTACTTCACCATTACCAACCATAACAGCATCTTGGCCATGATAAGGTTTTAAGTTATTTAGCTTACTAGAATTTCCTATCATATGGATAGATGCACCTGTGTCTGGATGCCATTCAAGCTCTTGATTGTCATCAATGGTGATGGCTGCCAATGCCTTTGGAATATCATCTTCTTGATATGAGTGATTAAATCTGTTGAAGCACTTCATAGCAATATGATTGAGCTTTCCACAAATTTGGCATTTGATTGCACTCTCCATGATGGGATTTTGAGCTTCAGCCTTCTGTTTGTTGAAGTTGTTAGGCTGATTCCTCGTAAAGTTAGATCCGACATTCCTATTACCTGCATGAGAAAAGTAGTTTGCACTAGCATTATTATAGGTGTTGTTAGTTCCATTGCCTTGAAAGAAACTTTTTCCTTTTGAGTTGAATTTGTTGAAGCCATTTCCTTTCCTCTTGTTTTGGTTTCCATTGGTCCTTTGTCCGTAAAAGGCCACTTGAGGATGATTATAACTATCAAACCCATGGATTTGGTTCCGAGTCTCATGACTTTTGAGAAGAGATACAACTTCTCGGTATGGTGGAACCGGAGGTTTCAACATGGTTGTCACAAAGTTCTCATAGCCTTGGCCAAGTCCTTGTAACACCCAAAAGGCTTTGGTTTTGTCTGGTACTAGTTTCCCCATAGCAGCAAGTTCATCACAAATATTTTTGAATTTTCTTAAATATTCAGTCAATGAATCGTTACCTTTCCACAATGTGGTCATTGCTTGTGTCAAATTGAACTCTCTCTCTTGAGAGTCTTGGGCATAAGCTTCTTCTAAAGCATCCCAAACCTCACAAGATGTTGTGAGTCCCACAACGATTCCAAGCACTTCTTCAAAATGAGTGCCAATGATCCATCCACGTAGAAGGTGATTAGACCGCCTCCATGAGATATAAGCCGGGTTTGGTACCTCTTTGGGTCCCTCAGCATCACTGCTGTCAGTTGGGGTGATTTTGGCTGCCGGCATGACATACTCTCCATCTAGGAATCCCTGCATGTCTTGACTTTCAATTAAGGCGGCCATTTGAGTCCTCCATAATAGATAGTTGGTGGGAGTAAGTCTTAGGGAAACAAAGTTTGACACATTGAGGGTAGAAGGATATGGGTAGCTACTGTTTTGAGATGGGGCCATTACAGAATGGGAATAAGAGAATAGGAATAAAATTGAAAGAAATTCTCTGATTCCTCACCGACAAGGCTCTGATACCATCAAACAAATTTGAAATCAAAGTTTCTCTCTCAAGGTGAGAAAAGAAAGAGAGTTTCTTCTATTTATAGTTGCATTATGCAATAAATAGCATGGTTTAAGGTATGATTACAATATAAATTTGCAACGGCTATATCTCCAATGGTTGCATTTTACAATTTCTTTGATTGCTGATTTTCCTCCAAAGCATTATTGCCATTTGATTTGTTTCCTTCTGCAGGTTCTACAAAATGATCCTCACAAGTTGAGACTTTATTACACCTCAATCGGTATTTCCCATTCAAAAGTGTGCAACAGAGTAGCCAACACGTACTTCATCATTCTCTCAGCTAGAGGAAGTCCCGCACAAATTCTCCTCCCAGACCCAAAGGGAAGAAAATAAAAAAAGTTTCCATGGTAATCACCTTTTTCTGGCTCTTTCAAGAACCTTCCGGTTCAAATTCCGAAGGGTTTTCCCAAACCTCAGGGTCCCTCTGAATTTTCCATAAATTAATCAAGATTTTGGAGCCTTGAGGGATTGTGTATCCGGCTATGCAACAA